AATCCAGGGAACACAGGCGGAAAAGGGATACAAACTGAACATTGAGAAGGAGAGGTCTCAGAATTGATGCACTTATTAGAAAGGAACTGATGAAATGAGCAGGAGGAAGAAATTTCAGGCAAATTTCCCAGGACTTGAAAAACAGGCAATAACCAAATGACTGTACTGCGGTATTAAATATTAAAGTAGTTTTAGCTTTGTAAGGAGTAAAAAAACCCTGATGACCAGTAGCATATTGTTGTTTTACAGGTAAATAAATAACAATTCAGTGTTATAGAGTATCTTCCAATTATGACTCAGTATTTTAATCTGGTTGTAATCTGGGCTTTCTTCTACAGCAGTATAACCTTTTGACAGAACAGCCACAAGGACTACATATTACTTATCTTGAGACAGCTCGGCCTATGTGCCTATAAAGAAATTGACTTCCCAATAAGGAAAAGAGAAATTTACGCTGGAACCTCTATGCTTATAAAACATGTAATCAAAAGCCATCAGAAAACTCCAATTGTATCCAGCTTTTTAAAGTAATTTCATTACTGTATTTTTACCCATTATCACAAGTTTTAGCATTCTGCTATTCTACATACAAAGCCATTTGTAACCATCTTTTTAGAGAGGATAAAGGGATCTTTTAAGCTGTTGTGAAGGCTAAGCATTATAAAAAGCCCTAGAGGACCATCAAGCAAAATGTATCTTCTGGATCAATTACTTTGCCTTGGCTGTTCAGACTGGAAAGACCACCAACATTTTCCTTCAGGTGACAGAAAAAAATACTGGGGGAGGTCCTATGTATTTGTGTGTTTTTAAATATACTTTCTAGAAAAAAATCTTTAACTATGTCCATTACTAGTTCCTTAAACTTGCTGCAAAAATTAGGGGTTTTTTGGTTCTGTAGAAGAGATGATCATTTATTGTTGCACTGAACTACTACTGATTTATGGATTAGAGTAAACCAGGTTCCTTAGGACACACAAAGGGTTAGAAAAGCAACGTAATTCTCAATCTCTGAACGCTTAACATGGGAAAAAGCTAAGAGTTACCAGCCTGACATGGCCTATACAAATGACAACATGATAACTCCTAGGCAGATTAGAGATTTTTCTGTGTAGTCTGACGGGGACAGATGCAAAAGGCCTAAGCATTGAGATTATCTGCTCAATACCTTTCATTTGGGTAAAACTAAGCCTTTAAGGAGGTCCTAAAGACAATTCTCATATGGGCAAGGCTTTGAGGCGGGGGAAAAGAGGTATCATATGATTACTAAACGCAAACAAAAGCAGTGTCCAAATTTTCAGTCACTAAATTTGGAGTACCTGACATGACTGATTTCTTCATTATGCATTATTACAACCTGATTTCTTCTTAAGTTCTGATGCTCTCACTAATGAAATTCTGCTAATAACCTAAATGATACGCAATTTGAGTAAGAAATATCTAACTACTTATGTTCACAGGTGATAGAAGAGACCTCTATAGGGACTCTTGTCTTTGCTGTACATAAACATCTTTCAGACTTTATTAACCATGGAATTCTTCTGTTGAGTGATTTCTATTTCAAAGACTTTCCAGCTTCACTTTTCTTAGTATGAAGAGCTGATTTACCCACTTGAAGCTCAAGATAAAAGGCACATTCAAATAATCAATGATTACTCGATCAGCATAAAGTCAGGAGGAATTTCATTCCAATTTGATAATCTTCCCAGTCAATGACATGTATTTTGAACTATGTCGCACTCTGCCAGGAGAAAGCAGATTGAAAAGTGGAGGGGGAGATTAATAAGGAACTAGAGAAAGAAAAAAAATAACACTAAGCTATTCATTTCTTCCCACTGTAAAATACATCAGTCTGAAGTAATTTCCTTTCAATTCTTCCTCTGCAAGGAAATCTAAATCCTTAGAAAAATATTCTGTATGAGAGCTAACTGTTTTGAAGCCCTACTTAACTGTGCCAGTCAAGAAAGTTCTTTGAATTTCCAAGTCAACGAATGTCACTGCATGCATTTTTTTTATTTTGGTGTGTCTGAAAGGCCAAAATCTTGAGTTAGTTAAACAGGCAACTATTAAATGATAAATCCAATCAGCTGACAAGGTCTCATACACCTGCACTTCTTAGTAGGAAAGACCTTTTTGTAGTTAGCCACATCATTCAAGGTTTTCTACTTAACGACCCTGGGAACAATCTCCTCAACAGGAACCATCCCTAAGTAGCTAGGTTCTTTCTACAACCCACACTAGAAGTTGCAGATTTGCAGGGCAGCCTTTTTATTGGTGCTTGGTAGTACATCCCCCAGTCCTGGTTCCAGGGCAAACACTCCGGCTACTCCAAGAAGAGGGTGTACACCACACACAGCACACTCTGAAGTCCTGAATCCCCAGCCTTCCCAACTAGATTCCCCTGGTTCACTGACCATTCATCTCCCTCAAATGAAATTTACGGGTAGAGGAAAATTTTAAAGGAAACTCGAAACACTGAAAATGCTGGACATTGTGTTTCCTACCTAGGGGGGTGTGGTGTAGGAGTGTTGTCGCTTATCACCTGAATGGTTAAGACCTACAAATGGAACCATTTGGAATCATCCCTGCCAAAAGCAAGTAATAAATGATTTTCAGCAAATCCCATGCCCAACTCATCAAGAAAATAAAAACACCCCTTTGGAGTATCATGATTATTTTACTCAGGAATTCTCTCAGGGAAATTTTTTTTGCTACAAGGACTTGTGAAAACTCTGGTTTACAACACAGCTATGTTTGAGGGAAGGTTAGAGGGAAACAACTGCTATTGCTTCTGTAAATAGAAGGGAATGGGAGCCTGAGGAGGAGACTGCCATGTCACGCATCAGAAAAGGAGATTCAGACATGCTGCTCTGAGCAAAATCTGAAACCGGCTTAAGAAGGCTTGCAGCCCTGATAAAGGCAAAAGGAAGCCTGACATTGGATTTTCAGTCATGTATCAACAACCTTCACATTTATGTCAAACATTGAAATAAGAGAACAAGTCTTTCAGCTCCTAGTATTAGACATCAGCAAGTGTTTGGGCAGAAACTGCTAACACAGAAAAGCAAAGTCAAGGTATTGTAGTCTGCCAACAGTTTTCAGCTTTCTCCAAACACAGGAAGCCAAGCACCTGAACCTGCTTCAGCTGATCTCTGCAGAAGAGCAAGATGATGCCATTGTAACACTTTTTCATTTGTACAGTCACACCAGCAAAATAATTAAAAGCATTTAATGAGAAGCCAAAACATATGCCTGATGCTTTAGTTCGTACATTGCCTAGCGAATCTGAGTAACAGAAGATTCAGTCACCTTAGAATATAAAGTTGGAACAGAAACGAAATAACCACAGTAATATAAAGGGATCTCTATCTGTGTGAAGATCACAGTTACAAAAAAACCCAAAGCAAACAAACCCACAACCCCCCAAACCACCACTTCATCGTTTGTCAGAACCAGAGCACCAGTCTTCAAACAGACCAAAAGTGGCACTTAAATCTGATTCTGTATAACAGCATCTGGGTAGTTTCTAGTAATCAAACACCAAAAAGTTACAATTTATTTTAAAACTCAATGTAAACTGCCGAACTCCCTTTTCCAGCCTTCTTAACAGCTCACACATGTTAACATATATGCTTTTAAACCCTGAATAAGTGGAAATCTTCCAAAATACTGACATTCACACTGCCAATTTGGACCTGTTTTATCCATAGCTGATAAGGTAACTTTGTACAACGTGGAAGCGTAACATCACAGACTGAACCATCCAGTTAACCACAACTGTATTTGAGCTGCCTTAGTTTAAATCTTTGCTTTCACACAGCAGCCAGTGGTGTAACAATTTTAACTTAATACAAAACAATGCAATGAAAAAAGTTTAATTAAACATTAAACCTAACAAACCCTACTCTGAAATGCCACAGTTTCAAAGATAAACATGAGCAAAAAAAAAAATCAGGAAGAAAGCAAGAAAAATACAGAACTTCATCTTTTCCTGACTTCCTAATTTTAATAGTCACATCTTTATTCTTCATCTAGTTGGTAAACTTCCATTTGCAATTAAAATGTTTTGCATACAACATCTTATTTGCTACACTCTGTTTTTCCACATGCTGAGACCATTTCACACTGTTGTAAAATACACTGTAGTGGGAGAAAGAGTATCACCTTAGCTTTACTATCCAGCAACTTTTTCAGATCAGCACTGCTGCAAATTAGGTTGATTTTGTCATTCGTAATTTTGAAAAGAGAAAGAAAAAAAGGGGCGGGGGGACAAAAAAAAAAAGCTATTCCAATTCAATGAGGAAAACAAATACAAGGAAGGAGACTGAATTTAAAGGCCAAAGCACATACGGTAGATATGATGTTGAGAAAATGAGGCATCTTCCACCATAACTACAATTATGAAGTTTAACACAGAAAGAAGCAGTCAGAGCATCACAGAATACATATGTCAATGGCAAACTACTGAAGAAAACTGGGTATCCTGGTTTCAGCTGGGATAGGGTTAATTTTCTTTCTAGTAGCTGGCATAGTGCTGTGTTTTGGATTTAGGATGAGGATAATGTTGATAACACACCCATGTTTTAGTTGTTGCTAAGCAGTCAAGGACTTTTCAGCTTCTCATACTGGCCTGCCAATGGGAAGGCTGGAGGTGCCCAAGAAGCTGTGAAGGGGCAGAGCCAGGACAGCTGACGCAAACTGGCCAAAGGGATATTCCACACCACATGATGTCATGCTCAGCATGTAAGGCTGGGGGGAGTTGGCAGGGGCCCGGCCGCTGCTCAGGGACAGGCTGGGCATCAGTCAGTTGGTGGTGAGCAATTGCTTTTCATTTGCATCACTTGTCTTTCTTGGGTTTCATTTCTCTCTCTTTTTGTTATTTTCCTTTTCATTACAATTTATTATTATTATAATAATATAATTTTATTTCAATTATTAAACTGTTCTATCTCAACCCACAAGTGTTCTCACTTTTACTATTCTGATTCTCTCCCCCATCCCACTGGATGGGGAGGAGGGGCAGGGAGCAAGCGGCTGTGTGGTGCTTAGCTGCTGGCTGGCGTTAAACCACAACGCTGGGAAAGAAGTCTCTAAAACACAAACTGAACAGAAAGCGTTACCTGTTACATCATTTTATATAACCACACACATACACATGCCAACATGCACATGTATTGTACCACATGAAAAACCAAAGGTCAATGTTGGTATTTTGAAGAAAGTTCCAAAATGCACTTCTCTATTCATATATGATACTATTAAAAAAAAAAAGTTTTGGTATTATATAACGCCATGGTTCAGTTCATCACACAGCGATAACAAAGCTATTAATTGTAATGCCACCTGCTTTTCATAAAGGAACATTTCAGTATGTGAAAGTGAAAAATTAAGGGAAAAAAGAAGCAACAACAAAAAAACCAGTGCAAAATAAAAATTAATTCCAGGGTAGGAAAGATCAAAATTCTGAAGATTACATGTGGCACACTGACACAAGTGCAGACAATTTTATTATTAATAGTTTCTACAGTAACACAACAGAAAAAATGCTGGGGGGTTGTAGAACAGACAATCCATGAAGCATCATACCACCAGTCATACATGATGCACCAAGGCGTTATATAATAGCAAAGTCAATCTTAAATTATGGGGAGTGATGTAAAAATATATTCTGGGAACAAGGCGTGTGTGGGAAGGGTGGTTATACTGTGTTTGTATGCATAATTATAAGGCCCATATTACTTTTTTAGTCTTCCATATACAAAACTACAGATTTCAAGCACAGTCTAAGCAGCTGTGGAAATTATATTTTAATACATTTTTGAACATATTTCAGTCACTAAGTGCTTCAATGTCAGACTTATCACTTATAACTAACAGGGTTTTTTTCCAATGCAGTAACTCCCATAGAATTGAAGTAATTATTCCAGCCTTGCAAAGCTGTCATGAGAATTTATTTGACAACGTACCAAACGTATTTGTCATCTCTTACCAAGATAAAAATGAAAATGATAATGCAATAAAGTCAGCAGTTTATCAAGATCACAGTTTGCACAAACAAAATTTCACAGGGCTGCAATACATGCTTTGATAGTGTGTGGTTGCATACTTGTATAATACTCAAAACACTATTGACAGACATTTTACGTATTGCATTACAAGATTGCTGTGTTCCCCTTACCCTTGATTGGTACTGTGCAACACTTCCTACAGAACAAGAACAATGCAAGCATGGAAAAAAAAGAATAACCAGTCTTAGTAACCCTATGTATTATATACCCTCTTGTTTCTTTGGTGCAAAGAGTAGATGTTGGCTCTGCTACTCCTATTAATAAGAATAATAAATCAAGAAGGTTGAGAAATTGGTTGCCAGAAATGCTGGTTTTAGGCACTAGCAATCGTAACTCCAACAAGAAGCCATAAAGGAACACTTGACACAATGCTTCAAGTAGTTATCTACTGCTGCAATTTTGTTTTTCCTTAATCAAACAGTTAAAAGGGTATATAATAAACACATACATGCATGCATGCGCACACACACATCTCTTTACTGGTTCTTATTCTTTTAAGGTGAAACATCTACCTTGTTTCCCCAAAGCCCACTGACAGTTTCCCAACAGTATTATGTGGGATGGCCGTCTTGGATGATGGAAGATTATCTTCTTAATCAGTAAATATATTTCATTTATAGTACTTTTCACATTAGTTTAATGCAACTTTTAAAAGCCATTAACCATGTCTGACATCATCAGTTAAGACTGTTCTAATATTCCTCTCAAATCTGGGGCCCAAAATGACAAATTGGAGTCTACAAAACACAATTGTATTTACTTATTGAAAGCCGCTCTCAGTAACTGGGGTTGGTTTAGGTTACACAGATATGGTCTCAGGGAAAGACAAATCACTTTAGAAAATTAATTAAAAAAATAATCTGAAGAATTCCCAACAGGATGTCATGTAGCTGAATTGGGTGGCTGTTGTAAGGAACAAAATTCAAGTGAATCCATTCTTGTATGACTTTTAAACTGTCCTCCTGCTAACTTCTTTATAATTTAAATTTCTAATTAGTCTCAGGTAAAGGTTCCACTCCACAGAGCAGAGCTAGTTGCATTTTAAACAGCACAAACATAACCCCAGGGTGAGAAACAAAAATCAAGTATCCCATTTTACATATATAATTATGCATGTTTATTTTCAGTGACAAAACCATGAAATGCAAGGAAACATATTCATCAATAATGCTTCAACAATATAGAATTAATAGCTGCTTATGAATTGTAAGCTGACATATCCACTTTGTTCACATTGTTTCCCAACAGACATTCACAAAGTTTGTTATACATTGCAAAGTAAAGGGATAGGAGTTATAAATGTACTTTATTAACATTTTACCAGATGGATTTCCAATAGTCAGCAAAATAGCTTAAATTAAACTGTAGTTCAACCAAACAAATCAAGGCATGTCAGAAACAATGGGAAATGGATAGGACACTGGTGGATATTTTTTAAAAAACTAGTATTAGGTGAAAAGGTGAAATGCACAGATAAAATCTAGACTGAAAAAAGATTTACTCTGTAAGAAGATAAGGTGCACCTGGAGTGGGGAAGAGGGAAGAAGAGACTATTCACCTGACCTGGGGTTTTAATAAATACCACATAATCACTCTTGAACAGATTGACTTTGTGTCAGCCATTTTTAACAGACCCAACCCCATTCAAATTTGTTCACTGTTATTTTATGTTACAATGTAATAAAAGCTGCTTTCATAGACTCCCTCCATATACCGTAACTATATTTATATATTATATATAATATATATAAATCCTGTATCTATAACTGGGATTCATAATAAAATACTTAAAAACCATCCTTAAGATTTCTATATATAATTAAAAATGCCTTTGCCTCTGGAACAATAATATTTATCCCAATACATTAAAAGTGCTTGTCATGTCTTCAGAAATGCAATTCTAGGACCTGAGGCACTGGAATGGCCATTAATAGAATGACTGGGACTGAATAACAACCCTTAAACTTCTGCATATGCAGGAAAAAGTTGAAGTTGAGAGACTAACACAAACACAGTAAGATGCCCCCCTCCCACATCCCTGTGGCTATTCCTTTCAGAGCAGGAAGAAGAGGAAGCCTGAAAAAGGAGAAGCAGTCATACAGCAAAATCGTGTGTCCAAGCTGCTTACTGAAAACGTTGACTATACTGACCTCAACAGTATGCAACTATTGAGAAGCCGTATAGTTCAGGACAACAAAAAGGAGATGTACCAGACTAAAACCACAACAAAGCCAAGAACATGTTGAATTTCAAAGCATCCTTCCAATGTCTTCAGGTATTTGACACTGTGCACAACAGAGCTCTTCAGGGGGCACAGAGAAGGTGCACACAGTGAAGAACATTTACTTTCTAGACCTCCCACACTGTAGATCACAGTACTGTACAGGGGGGATGAATACTTAAATAGCAATAAAAGAATAAAAACAAATTAACATACTGTAAGATACTGTGCCAGCTTCATAAAAAGAAAAATTAAGGTACTCCTTGACATAACAGCAGGTATTTCCAAACTTATCAGGAAAAAGCACAGAAAACACAAGTTCTAGATGCACAGCACCAGTATCAGAGCTTCATTATGAAAATGAGATGCAAGACTAAATATATGGATGTACTACATAAGGTTCCAGTCATTTCCCACTGTTTTCAGAGTCATCTTCATCAAGGGGGATGGAATTTAATCAATTACATGGCAGCCATTATTTAAAAAATTAGTTTAGTTGACTTGGTTAAGGTTAAGTGCTGGTTTTTTGCAACTGAAATGAAATATTCTTATTTTAGAAAAAGATCTAATTATAGAATTCAAGAGTGATAAGCAATAAATTTCTTTCAAAGTATATTTGTTATATTCAGATTTTTAAAGTGAATTTTCATTATAATTAACAGTTTCGTATTAAGTTTACAGCCAAAGTCTAAATTTATGTTTAGACAAACTGCACTTAACCTGCTGGTTCACCAACATGCTTCACCTATAATGGAAATAAAATGGAAAGGGGAAAACAAAACAAAACAAAAGGTTATTCTGCTGCTTGAGGTTCTTTGCTGATACTGCCACTGAGGAGTCCAATTCATGTCCATTTTGATAAAATTAGTGATGTTCACACAACATAACCTGTACTGCCATGAACAGGACTGACTTGAAATTTTCTCTCACAGGTTTTAAAAAAAAAAAAAAAAAAGACGACCCCCTGCTCCCCATATTACTGTACATATAGCCGAAGTTGACTTTACGAAAGCAGTGAAGCACCCATTCTGTTTGCCTACTTCAGCTTTTCTAGAAAGAAAATACACATAGGAAAGATTCATTTAACACTTTGGGCAGGAGGGCAACGGGAGAAAGCTTTTTCAGTTCTGGAAGGTTAGAAATATGTTCTATTAATCAGAATTAATTCAAGTATTAGTGGAACGCTTAGTGAACACCGACAACAGCTCTTGTGAAGCAATAATACTTCCAGCCCAAACCAGGAATGCTTTTTCTCATTTTCAAAAAAATTTTCTCCCATACAAAATTCAAAAGCTAGTAATACTGCAGTCAGTAGCTTTGAAGTATCAGGTTCAAACTGAAGGTAGTAAGAGGACATTGTATAGTTGGTGCCAATAGAATTAGAATTTAACAAATGAGAAGCCAAAAATATCCCCAATTATGAGCCAACAGAATGGAAGTCAAGTCACAAGCCAAATGATAATTAGAAAGAATCAAAGACATGCCCAGATTGGCCAAAAGAGTCCCCTTTCCATTTAAATCACCAACTAAATTTGTGTTAAGGAATGAAACGATCAGCAGTATGCTGTTACAGTAGGTTACCTAGATGCAGTTAGGATCAGAGCAGGGCATGTGGTCAGTATGACCACAGTATGCAGCAAAAGGGAACAAAAAAAAAAATCATCTCCTGGCAACACACATTTCTTGTTTCTGCAGGATAAATGTTCAATGCCAGTATGCTGGAACAAGCATAACTACCTGAGACAAAGATAGGAATATTTTTTTGGGGTGGGAGGGGAGGAAATACATACTCATCTTGGCAGAAATTTAGAGTAAATATTTTCAAACAAGAACTTAAATTTGCCAGTCTGGCTGAATTATGAATTCTATGAATCCCTAAAATTTGGAAATCTGTTACTTTAAAATATCCTAGCATAAGCTACTGCACAGGTCTGCTATATTTTAAGGACTGCTTGCCCTTTGTTTTTTCAAATTTCCTTCTTTCTAGCCATTAGACAGGATTACTTTTTTTACCATTTCCATTTGATTTGCTCTAGGCTTGACAAAGTGATATTCCTGGATCCATGATTTCTTTCCTCTAGTCGTTAATGTTGTAAAAGTTAATGCTGCAACTAAGGAAGTGCAGGATTGTACAGAAATAATTTTTATATTAAATTATATCTGATCAACTAGCTCAATCATTATAACAACAGCAAATAAAAGTGTCTGTAAACACAATACATAAGATGAATATAGCACTTTCAAAACCTTTTCATCTTTAATGTTAGCCATCAGAAAATGGAACACACTGTGCTGGTCTTACACTTTGGAAAATTGATGCAGTAAGTATGATTAACCTACCCAAGGCCACAAAGGTAAACATTATCAGCCAAGATAAAAACGTCAAAGTTCAGGAATCAAGTCCTTCGTTCAGACTATAACAAAGTGATAAATCTCATTCAATGTTTGAAAGCCTTTCCCAGCAAGGAAGTTCTCCACAGAATTAAGAGTTTATCATGGTCACTTTGTTATTTCAGCTGGGATTTTTCTCTGTTTTGTCCACTGCTGAGCCACATGAACACTTCCAGTGAAGTCTTTAGCATGATAAACCATGTGTGTGTGTGTGCGGGTGTACACACATATATACACATGCATTTCAAAAGGACGAAGCCATTCTCATTTCACTCTGTTAACATAATGGAAAACAGTTTTAAATGCTACCCTGTTTCTTCTTCTAAAGTGGACCTACCATAATTTGTGATTTGATGAGCAGTTTTCCATTTTTATTTACAGGAAGATCTCCCTATTTGTCAGAATCCCTGATGAAAGTCATGGCATAGAATAGCAGAGACAAACCATGAGTTCGATTCTCAAGCGTGATTCATTCAAAATGAACTATGACTAGCCCTCCTAATTTGTAATTTTTCTTTACTAAAGAGCCTTTTAAACTACAATTTCATTTCTCTGACAAAATTCACATCCACTATCCTGAGAATTTCTAACCTGTAAAAGTCTCCAACAAAAAATGTAATGATAGGATCAATTTACTACACTGAACTAATCTAAACAAGTTAAAACCAAAAATAGTATTTGGATAGGGTTTGGTGGGGAAGAACAGGACGTGCTTCTTGTAAATTATACTATACTGACAAAGACTATACTGCAAAGACAATGGAAGGGGTAGGTGAGAGGAAATACAAAAAAACCTCTCACAAGCATATACAGAGACAACACTTCAACTCTTAATTACTTGCCATTTAAGTGACAAACCTGTTCTCGACTCTTTTCACAATGTTTTCCCCATTTCATGCACAACTGAAGAGATCCCAATTTTAACATCATTTGTATCAGACAGTGCCTTTGGAGAATAGAATGACTGAAATCTTAGCCAGAAATATTAAATAGGAAAATGAAAGACCTGTAGTACAGATCTGTAGCTCACAGAGAAAATAAATTTAGAAGAATGTTAAAAAAAAAAAAAAAAAAAAAAAAAAGGCACAATCCTCTGGTAGGTCCAATAACAATTTGAACAGAGAGGGTGACAGTGGTCAAGCAATTCCAGGTGTTTTCATGCATATATATATATATATATGTAGTGTATCTGTGTCTATTTCATTCAACTTCTACTTTTTCTGTGCTCTTCAGTAATCAAGTATTTGATTTGTAAGATGCTACATTGGTGCCAGCAGGCACAAAATGGTATAATAAATACACTCTTCACAAAACAGAAAAGCCATGCACTTAGTGAAGAAAGCATAGCTCTTCAGCTAAGTGGAAATCAATATCTCTCTCTCATTTTTTTAAAAACAGCTCTGCTTAGCCACTTAAGAGTCCCAGCTGCCACAGAAAGTCATACAAACTCCAGGCCCTGCTCTGTTTAAGTTTCTGTTCCATAGCTCACTTCAGGAGTGCGAACAGGATACTTCGTGCTGAACTAGACCATAAGAAATTTCCTTAGTAGACCAAATGAAAAAACAAATCTGGTAATTTTTCCATTTTAGCAATTCATTTGAAACCAGTTCCATTACAGAAGCATCAAGTCATTGGTTCTTGTTTTATCACACGCTTTATAAAGACAGGTTCTTTACAACAGCCTTGAAGGGGACCAGCAGTTAGGTTCCCACTGACCATGTTCTTGGGGAGAAACACCTTGGAAGAACTGTGGTTCAACAGGACGGGACTTTTGGAATTCAGAGCTGGGTGTCCCTCAGGGACTAAAGTCACAGAATTAGTGCCAGGTGGCACCACAGATTTCTTAGGGAACAAAATTTTGCTTTGTTCTAGAACAACATGGTTTATAGAAGAGGTGGAGGCACCAGATAGTGATTCTTTTATCACTTCATTTGGGATCTTGCTATATAGGTAATTGGGGGTGTTATTCTCCGTTATATCTGACCAAGCCCTGTAGCGAACTTCGGCAGCTCCCCAGTAGTGTCTAATAGCAGACTCAGAGCGATGGCCCGTCACTGCCATTATTTCTCTAGGCCCCAGTCCTGCTTCACACAGTAGCTGGATGGTGGTAGTTCGGAGAGAATGATTGGTATATCGTTGAGAGAGCCTGGCTGCCACACTTATCCTAGGCATCATGGTACCTAAGTAGTTCACACCCATTGGTTCTCTTTTGTACCAGACAGGTTGTTCTTGCATTTGCTCTGATGTTAGCTTTAAAGGATGCAGGTAAAAGGCAGGGGGCTCCGGAGGCAACTTAGACAAATAGAGCTCCAAGGAAAAAACAGGACAGTTTGGATCCCCTGGCATATCATACATTTTACCCATTTTATGAGGATCTTCTCCACTTTTTCCTTTGCCAGGATACCTAAACATAGCATATCGACGCCCGTTCTTGTCCTTCTCAATAACAAAAGCATCTGGAGCCAGATCTCTTAAAATTTCCCTCCCTCGTTTGGCAAAATGCAACTGCAAATCAAACCACACCTTGTTGACAAGTGCCAGTGGACTGTGCAATCCCAGCACACCAGATTGTTTAATCTTACGCAAGTCCTCAACAGCTATAGGAGGATGGTGGTGAGTCTCATCCTTTCCCTGCATGCGCAGCATCTTCAGCACGCTCACAAATACCATGTTTGCACCAGCAAACTCTTTGTCCTTCATTAAGCAAATCTGACGATTATAAGGTGGCATTTTGAGATGCCGGTTTAAGCCAGCACGCATTGACTTGTAGCTTGCCACACTGTAGGTATTTCCATCATGATTCCTTATTGTGTAATAAAACTCTCTTAAGATATCATTGAGTTCACTTACTGGGACCAATTCAAAGCTAGGATCCTTGCCATTTTTGGCCAGCCATTGTTTTAATAGGTTAGCTGCCCAGCCAGTCTGCTTGTGGGTGTTTTTGATGCTCTTAGCATCCTCTTCCTCTTCCTCCAAGCCAAAGAGGACATCCTCGGGGAAGTTAAAATTCGTCTGTGCTGCTTCTACCGCTTCTTTATTTTCTGATGAAGTCTCTTCCTGTTTCAACTGCTTTTCGAAACAATTGATCAAAGTTGTACCATCAAATATGCCACAGGTATACGGCACACAGCGAACTACTTTTTGTTCTGAGAGCTGTGAAGTGCGGAGTAATACATAATATTTTGGATTTTACATAACAAAAAGCAGGTGGCATTAACTGGATTTTTCAAATGATATGGCATGTCAATTCCATACCTCATTAGCCAATTAAAATGCATCAGGTCCTTCTTTATTAACCATGGCATTACACATGCTTTAACTGATCTGACTGAAAGCAAACCCAGAAACATACACTGTAACGCAAGACTGAAAACCGGAAAGCATCATGTGTCTTATTTCCCTCCTTGCTCACCTTCCATTGCTAAATACCACTATCACACACAATCTGTTGTTCGAAAATCTTTTCCGGGTTTCAGGCTCTACTGAAGAAGAAAAATTCCAAAATATGCATCTTATATTGAAAATTTAAATCTTAAAACCGTACATCGGTCATCCATTCTGGTACTGAATTTCCTACATATCAAGTACTGACAAATATTTTAATAGCTATAATCCACAGGTATCTTTAAAAAATGAAGTTCCAAACAACCATTCTTTATGAAATGCCTTAATAAAAAGGTAGAGTGAGGCACAGTTTATACTCTATAATATTGGTTATCTTTGCCAGACTATTTCTGCGACAGGTGAAAAACAGAATCTTGTCCAGTATATTTTCTTCTTGCTTTCAAATACAATTCAGATTTAACTGTACCTTGAATCACTATGAAATGTGGAAATTTTGGCTAGAAGAAATTCATTTTATTCCCCTTAATAAAATGACTTCCAGCTAACAGCTATGTAAGCATGAGGTGCTTTGTGAAATATCTGTATGCAGGAATAGAATTAATTAGAAGTATTTTTAAATAGTTTAATGTCAACCTTTAAGTTTCAAAGCAAGTTCAACAAATCTTAAACGAGGAATCCAGAAGTACTGCACGTTCTCCTTTATCATGACATAGTTATTCTTGAAGAAAATTTATTTTCCTTTTTTTTCTAGGACACATGGCAATGAAATATTAGAACCCCAATTCTTATTAACTTCTGGATTAGTGTGAAGATAAAGTTGTAATGATTTAAAAAATAAGTGTAACTAAGTTCAAGCCCTTCAGACAAAAACTGGGCAGGGGTTTCTTTTGTATGTTAGCTCTGTTGTATCAGACACATTTTTAGTGCGCTCCTGAATTACTAACTCACCTACTTACATAAACACTATCAGAAAACTTCTGTAAAGTTTATCAGAAGCTCATGTTCCAAGTCATATTCTGGATCAGAAGAAGAAAAATACAAATGGACAGAAACTAGAAAGGATGGCACAAAAAAGCAACTAAAATTGTTTCATTATGAGCAATAAAGGTAAAGAACTTTTCTCCTGTGGATTGTAACTTTAGAACTTTATATAGAAACATAATCAACAACCTACCTGTGTTGTTCCCTCAGCAGGTCGCTTGTTTGCCGAAGTATCTGTTGGTGGCCTGCTTGTCTGGTTCTCTGAGGGGTCAAGAAATTGTTCATTTGCAGTATCTAATCAGTACTAAATACTGCTATCCACTATATAAGTTTGGAGGCAATATTCAAAATTGTTTGATACTAAACATTAACTATGTGGCACATTTAACATTTTTCAGCCCTAATTTTCCATTATAAGTATTCAAAAGCTTGATTACTACCATTTTTCAGAGGGAACAAAAGATAACGGAAAAGCAAAATGGCACTTTTCAGACTAGAAGCAGTAAGTTTCCTTCCTTGAAAGTCTGACAGCGTATTCAAAATATTTTATGAACAACTCCCTTGCCTGTTGGAGGACAAAGCCTAACTCCAACATCTCCTCCCTCTGTATGCAGACTGACAAGGTATTAAACTGAAAAAAGTTGCAATTATTCAACGTTTTTGTACAAAAACCTGCCTGAACAAGGGATGGTTAAACAGCACAATACATAACTGACATGATTTGTGCAGGGAGACTGAATTTGTTTATTAGCTCAGCCATATGTATATCTACACTAGCAACTTAGAATTTGCTTGAATATTTGGTGTAAACATTTAAATCCAAATTCTTCCTTCTCATTCCTTCTCATTTTAACCAGAGCTTATCAGCAACAGTGCCCAAGGCAGCGTTTCAAGTCTGGAGAGAAAACTACTAGGGTATACACTAAGGCTATGTGAACTGCAAAAAATGAGACACACTTTTGGACACATAGGTCCTTCTTTTGGTCACTGTGCCTGATCTGTTACAACCCTTTTTACGCTGTATTAAATCATTATATTAGCTTCAGAGCTAAAAAATCAATACAAGGCATGTGGAAGACTTATTTTAACATAGGTAACTTACAGATGGGTAAATGAAATAAAACTAGTTATGATGTCAAGTTCTGCTTGAGTTAATTTCCACACTATATTGTGCCAATGAGAAACTTGCTATAATTCCAACTCACTTAGAAATCTTGAGAACCTCACAGAAAAAAAAACGTCAAGGTATGTAAAATCAGAAGTGCAGAGAATCATCATGGCATGGCCAAAGATGGAAAGTATTTTAAAATAGTTAATCTGGATACGGTATCTGAACATTCATTGTGTTCAGAGACTTGAAATACAATAAACTTATTTCTTTGGAACTAGGTTAGCATCTTGTTGCAGTTTTTCCCCCATTTTGTTTACTTTCAAGTGTTGTAAAAATTAAGTTAATGATTATACTTTCTTTTCAGTATGTCTTTGCTTAGAAAGGCAGCCAGATTATTTTGAGAGGCTATATTAAAAATAAATACCAAGTTGTTAATAGTAGAATAGGAGTTTCTGATTTCATGCTATGAATTATATAAATCAAGTTCTAAATAAAATAAAGCGTACAGAGCTGCACTGCTGACTCCTTCTAAGGAGAGATGACTTTCAACCACGGCTGAAATACATCTATGACAGAGATGATTTTGATCTTGACAATTTCAACAGAAAGGCAACCCAGAAGAAACATCTCAGTAAAATATACTAACGAACAAACTTCCACAGGAGTGGAGTTTTGTGTTTCCCTTTGACAAGTATTTTCCTTTCCCAGTGTCAACATTCAAGCACAACTTACCAACTCTGGGTGCTGTAATGGTGGTGGGTGGTTCAATAGGAGCTGTACTACTAAAAGCAGAGAGGGGAATCTTCATCTGTAGGGGGGCTCGACTGCTGGTAGCATTATAAAGTCCTGAAGTACCCACTGTGGGCAAAGAAGTCCTTGTGGCCTGGGCAACAGGATGTGCAGTAGGAACAGCCTGTACTGCCAATGTTGTGCCTATTGACCCAGCACTGGCTGGAGAGTTCCTCTGAATACCAGGACTGGGCACAGACGAGCTGTTATTTGGTTTAGTTGGGTTAGTTGACGCCAAAGACACTGTAGTTTTGGTGAGGCTACCAACTGTAGATGAGCTTTGTACAGATATAAATTCAACGTTGCCTGACTGTTGGTTAGTGACCAAAGTCCCTGTGTGGCCTTGCAGGAGCTGAGGCTGGGATGACACTGCAACAGGCACATGCAAGATTACAGGCAAAGACTGCAATGAGACAGACACTGACTGAGTGCTGCCACTGGGCACTTGGTTGGTGCCTACAACCGTAGCGGTGTTAGATGTGGGAAGAACTGCTGTTGTCAAAGAGCTGGTGGAGGTCACTGTAGTCTGAGGCTTAGGATGTCCACTGACAACTGCTGGAGGAGCAGCAACACTGGAAACTGGCACTATAAAAAAACCCAAACAAACAAAAAAACCACCAAACCAAAAAACAAAAAAACAAACAAATTTAAGCATTTGAACCGTGGAAAATTTCACTCCAACAGAACAAATGGAAGGCATTTACAATAAAGGTGGCAAGACACTGGAACAGGTTGTCTGAAGAAGTTATGAATGCCCTATCATTATTAAGTGTTCAAAGTCAGGCTGCACGGGGCTTTGAACAACCTGATCTAGAGGAAGATGTCCTGGCCCATGGCAGGGGGTTTGGACTAGATGATTTTTAGAGGTCCCTTTCAAGCCAAACCATTCTGATTCTATGAAAAATGTGGTATATGATTAACTTTTTGCAAAGAAAGGCTATAGATACTCTTTCTGTTGTACACGCTGATATTCAATGGCCTAGCTAAAGATACAGTCAATGCCATATTTCTGTTTGGAAGAACTATATACAAATGGCAAAAAATTAAGATATACAAAGAACTATGACACAGACACGCTTGAAGAAGCTCTAAGATTTAACTGTTGAAAACACAAGAAATATAGCTTTTAAACACTTGTTACAGAAATGGTGCAACAACTGGTCCTTCAGAAAACAAAAGAAAAACTAAGTCAGTTAGGACTAACTTTCTTTGTATAGGACCTTGTATCTAGAAGGTTCTACTAAACAGAAGATTGATGTGTCAGAGAAGATACTCGCTTTTATGCAACAAAATTTCAGGATTACATCTAAAGATCAGGAGCATAATACACTACAGAAAGCCAGTATATGCCTACTATGAGATGATTCTGGGGAAAAGATTCAGCAGAAAAGATTCAGCATTCAGTATTAGGCAAACTATTTTTAATACCAAGGATGGTGTGACTACAATGAATGTAATTAATGGTAATTTTGTTTCTACATTTCCTATAAAATTCTAATCTAGGAATTCCATTTTTCAATTTGATTCCCTTAAGAAATGGGGCTTATGGCTTCCTTTAGTTCCCCACTCAACTTCTGTAGCCATTAGTTAGAGGGGGTGATACGGCGTGTGAGCCATGTGTTTCACTTCTCGGCAGCTGAGAGACTGCAAGTTCTTGCTGCCGTACCCAGCAAGCAGTCTGCTGAAGCAACTAAATTAACCATATTCTGGTTGGCCAAATAAACATATTTTTTTTTCCCTTACCTAGGCACACCACACAAATATAGACTGCAAACGTGGTAGGGAGCCTAAAAATAATAATTTTTGCTGTCAGGAAAAAAAAGTAATAAACCCCAGTTCTATGCTGTTCGGTTAGTTACTGATTTAATGGAAAGCAATAAAACTTTTAAGAAGCGTGTTTATAATCCACAGACAGTTTCTTACCTGCATTCACAGGGGCTTGAAAAGTTGCTGGTGTGCTCTCTCCTACATTCCTCTTTGACTCCAGCATCTGCCTCACTGTGCCAGCATTTCTATGGAACAAAGCTTCAGTTAGCATTTCTATGGAACAAAGCTTCAGTTAGCATTTCTCAATGAGCCACACCAGGTATAATTATGAACAGTACAATGATGAAAAAAACCCTGCTTTTACAGCTATTCTTTTCACTGGTATTTTCTAAACCCATTTGTCTTCTGCCCCTCCATGCAAATTAACTCTGGATATTCTACTAAAAAAAAAAAACCAAACCAGAATTATTCGTAAATTTTCAAGTGCTTGCACCAAGTTTGCCTGTCACCATGAGAATCTTCCCTTCCTTGAAATTAAAATTCCATTTTTGTCCATTATTTTTCAACCACTGAAACACTCATCTCAGTTTACCTAAGAATGGATTCAATACTGTCCATTTATGACTTCTGTGAAAGAAAAATCAGGTTTTACAATCAAAGAGCCATGACGGAAAAGGAAAAGCACTTTAATAAAAAAAAAAAAAAAAGAAAATACAGGGATTATCCATTATCTTAGGTATCTCAAGTGTCCTATCGTGAATTTTAACATGGTCACAGTGATGTGGACTGCTTACCGGTATGTTGCATTGTTTGTGTTTGCAGTGTCACTTGCTGCTTTCCCTGGAGACAGAGGTACATTTGGTGAATTCTAGAGAGAGAGGGGGAGAGAGAGAGAGAAAGAGAGAGGCCGTAACAAAAAACCCGTAAGTCAGCTTGCAAATATATGCTTTCATTATGTTTCATATTCATTCATTTCTGAGATACACACACATTTTCTGGAGCCAACGCTGCAGGAGAACTTGACATCTTTTACATGCCTGACCAATCTGATGGCCTTCTACAATGGCATGACCAGCTGGGTAGATGAGGGGAGAGCAGTGGATGTTGTCTACCTTGACTTCAGCAAGGGTTTTGATACTGTCTCCCATAACATCCTCATAGAGAAGCTCAAGAATTGTAGGTTGGATGAGTGGACAGTGAGGTGGATTGGGAACTGGCTGAACGACAGGGCTCAGAGGGTTCTGATCAGTGGGGCAGAGTCTAGTTGGAGGCTGGTAGTTAGTGGAGTTCCCCAGGGCTCAGTACTCAGCCCGGTCTTGTTCAACTTATTCATCAATGACCTGGACGAGGGGACAGAGCATACATCAGCAAGTTTGCTGATGACACAAAACTGGGAGGAGTGGCTGATACACCGGAAGGCTGTGCTGCCATTCAGCGAGACCTGGACAGGCTGGAGAGTTGGGCAGAGAGGAACCTGATGAAATTCAACGAGGGCAAGTGTCGAGTGCTGCACCTGGGGAGGTTGAACCCCATGCACCAGTACAGGCTGGGGGATGACCTGCTGGAAAGCAGCTCTGCCGAGAGGGACCTGGGAGTCCTGGTGGACAACAAGTTCACCATGAACCAGCAGTGTGCCCTTGTTGCCAAGAAGGCCAATGGTATCCTGGGGTGCATTAAGAGGAATGTGGCCAACAGGGCGAGGGAGGTTATCCTCCCCCTCTACCCTGCCCTGGTGAGACCCCACCTGGAGTACCGTGTCCAGTTCTGGGCTCCCTGGTTCAAGAAAGATGAGGAACTCCTAGAAAGAGTTCAGAGGAGAGCAACAAGGATGATAAAGGGACTGGAGCATCTCCCCTACAAGGAAAGGCTGAGAGAGCTGGGCTTGTTTAGCCTGAAGAAGAGAAGACTGAGAGGGGACCTCATCAAAACATACAAATATCTTAAGGGTGGATGTCACGAGGATGGAGCCAGACTCTTCTCAGTGGTGCACAGCGACAGGACAAGGGGCAATGGGCACAAACTAAAACATAAGAGGTTTCAGTTGAATAGGAGGAAAAACTTCTTCACTTTGAGGGTGACTCAGCACTGGCACAGGCTGCCCAGGGGGGTTGTGGAATCTCCTTCTCTGGAGATATTCAAAGCCCGCTGGACAATGTCCTGTGTAACATGCTCTAGGTGAACCTGCTTTAGCAGAAGGGTTGGACTAGATGATCTCTTGAGGTCCTCTCCAACCCTTACCATTCTGTGATTCTGTGAAAACCTCCTTGGTACTACCTGCCTCCCTGTCCTACATCCTCCCTTTTTATAAGTCTCTTGCCTTCAGGTTTTTATAGCATGAGAATAAAAATTTCTTCTTGAACATTAATGGACTTTTAGCTTCCATTTCTTCACAGTAACTAATCCAAAATATTCCTTCTAGACACTGAGAAATACTCGTTTGTATTTTTTTCCTCCCCGCTCCACTCCAAAATCAAGGTGCTGGGATTCACTCTTATTTACTCTGTACTCTTCATATTGAAGTAAATTAGATTTAATTACATATGGTTTAAGATGCTTTCACACTAATAATGCCTAAAGAACCTTCTGTACAAATCAGAGTTACATAACAGATGTTAGAAGACTATTCTTTGATATCACTGCCTTTACCAAACATGAAAAACCTATTTTGTGAACACCACTGAACAATCAGGTCACATCCTTCTGCATATAAAATTTCTTTATTTTTCAACAGAAGGTTTAGGCCAACTGAAAAAAAGAAATTAGTTTGTTTTTAACAAAATCTAGTTCTTACTTCCTGTCTTTTCTTCAAGTCCTCCTTGGCTGCTCCAAACCGCTTTGTCAATCTAGCAATTTTAGCCTAAATGGGAAGAAGATGAAAACAAACAAACAAAACCATAAATATCCTCCCCAAGAACCATCAAAGAAATTACACAAACTAAAAGATATATAATTAAGACATCAAGTCACAGGCTATTTTCATATCAGGGGAAATTATTCTTCCTTGAATTATGGTACAACTATATTACTTCGGAGCAGCAGAAAGACACACACGTGTATCACAATCAAGATATCTTAGAGACAACTTGAATTATTTTCCTTCCTATTCACAGCTGCACAAATAGAATCCATCTTGAAGAGGTTCACGCAATACTTGCATGAATGAAAGCAACTGAAAGCATTTGACTGTTTTAATGCCTTACGTACCAACCATATTGAAAAATGCACCCCTTTTTGCCTTTCATATTATATACTCTTCCCCCATTTATCCTGTTTCTCCCTCTCACTGATACACTACATATCACACACCCCGGTCAGCTTTGTTCTACTCTATTTGATGTGTCAGGTTCGTTATCTTCTTAAGCACCATTCTTATATCTCATCTTTACTTCTTGTAATTCCCTCAATATACTCTTTGGTGACTATTCCTTCTGTAATTACCTCAGCATTACAAGATCCTAATTTTTCCTTGTCTAGGTTGCAGCTCTGATGGCTGACTTATTCTGGAGGCAGTAGCTGGGCCACTTGTTCTAAGCAGGTACTTTTTCTTTTTTTTTTTTTTTTCCCCTCCCCACAGAAAGAAGAGTTAAATTATTTTTACGAACTCCTGAAAACACTAGGTTAGCACTAGAAGAATGGAAGTTTTCTAAAAGACCAGTGAGTTTCATATGCCATGATTTCAGAACTTCTTAGCTAAAAGGAGCTGGTCCATTTAGAAACCTCACCTCTTTCACATTTTTACAATGCAGCATGACAGGCTATGATTACAGCCTGTCTTTAATTACATTTATATTTCAATTTCTGTTATCTTTTACAATGTAGAAGTCTTCCGGAGCACTTTGCATAATAAAACCACGTAAGCTTAGACTGCGAGTATATTAACATCAACACATTCACGGCCTTATACGATGTTATTAATTTGACACTGTAGTTGATGGCTAAAGACACCGATAAACAACTATGCTGAAAAGCATCTTAGCACAACTTTTTTTTACGTGTAAAGTAAAGCGGCCTTATTGTTTGAATTTGTTATGACACAAGCTTTTCATTGTCTCATCACTTTAAAATTCTTTGATTTTTTGTGACGTTCCTCATCTCACAACTATTTACATCATTTCTATAAAGAATGCAAGAAAGCATCCTGCATTCAACACTAGCTATTTGTTTCCTTGCTAGAACATAATTATTTAGTTTCTGGGGAAATTATGTGGATAAGTATCATGATCATGTGATGTTTCTTTGTTTGAACATTCTACGAAGTCCAGTGCTACCGTCCTCTCCCTTCTGCACGTTTCCATTTTAAAGCAAATTTCTGGCTTCATAGAGGCATTATATATTTTCATACTTAACGTTTATTTGAAGAATGTCTAAATGGAACAGAAGAGTGGAAAAGCAGTTTACTAACAGCTAATGAAATCAGTCTGCCAGAAGGAAGATTTGCTTTGGGGTTTTTTGATGATTAATTGGTTGCTTTCTTCTTTCTGAGTGGGGAAATAGAATTTTGCAACTCAAAAGCAAGGTTCTATTTGCTGCTTCCCTCCCCTTCCCTTTGTGGGGTCAAAATGGCTTGCCTACTGACAACTACAGGATACTTACTACTAAATGTTGAGGAACTTATTTTTAAATTTGACTCTAGTATGCAGTTCAACACACAAAACCACTCACCTGTAGTTCAGTAAGCACAGTTTTATGCCTCTTGTTGCATTCTACTTTCTCTATTCGGGTTTTCAAGTCCGCCAGAGTCTTGTCAAATACAGCACACTGTAAAGCAGTAAGTTTTTCTTCTAACAGTCTCTGGATAACCTGCAAAATTATTATAAAAAAAAGAAAAATAACAATGCAATCCCAGAATTTGGGAGACTACCTATAAAAATATTTTCAACTCTTAACAAGTATCCTGCTACAAACAGAACAATGACAAATGTTGTGCCCTGTCAATCAAATAAATATATAGACACCAATAAGGATGTGGTTGCACAGCTAAGAAAAGTTTCTACAGCTATTTTGGCAAATACAAATTGTCCCTCTTTTCCATTAATTCAACAAATTCATTTCATTGCAGTGTAAGTGTATAAAACCTTATTAGATATAAAAAGAGCCTTAACAACAGAGGATATTTTCATGAAGTTCTGTGTTTATACAAATTATTTTTTCCCTCTTACTCTTCTGTTCTTGAGGGACACTGGCATTCAAAGAACAGAAACTAAAGACATTCAACAAAACTTTATTTCTGAGATGCATTTTCCCCTAGCAGAAACGCCCTGTATTGCTTTTCTTGCAAAAGCTAAAAATGGAAAAAAGAAGAGACTTATTTCCACAAGGTTTACTTGTTATGCTTGTTATTTTAAATTTTTGTCCCTCCTACACCTATTGCAGTGCAAAAATTTTTCTTAGGAAACAAAAATACACAAGCAACAAATGTGTGTCAGTTTTCTGCATCCTACATTAACGAAGTCACAACATGCACTAGCTAACTGATGGAAGAAGGACACAATTTTTTTTTTTTTTCTTCAGGACCATAGGTTTCTTTAAATGCCAATGGTGCAATCAGGCAATTAACAGCTCCATAAAAATCTGCAAAACACTATGTTGACTGCACTCTTGTTTGGAAACAGACGTTCTTTAAAGCTAGGCAAACAATAAAGTGCACCACATATAAACCTTTACCACACTGAAATACCTCTTTTGCTAAGATTCTCCATCTATAGTCACATAACATTTAAGAGTTTACGTGTTTAATACATTTCAAATACAACTCTTGCAGCATAGTTTTCAAATTATACTTGGTCTGTTCTTAGAAGTAGGGCTATATAGGGCTTTATATGAATTAAGACACCTTTGTAATTTGAATTACATCCAATTTTCAAGCACAAAAAAAGAGCATGTGTTGGGGGAGCAGGGAGTGTGTGAGAAACGACAGCTAATTCAAAGATGGTAAGACAAGCGACAGTATGTGTTTGCCATCTTTGCTCTGCACCTCCATTTACCTTTTGTAGTTTTTGGTCAACATCCCTTCTCGCTGTAATTTTTACTTGGAGTTCTGCTTCATAATCTTCTCCCATGTACCGACGACGTTTAGAATGAACACTGTCCATGTCCTCAGATTTGGAACGCTTTCTCCTTGACACTTCACCTGGAACAAACAGATGGAACTGCTCATGAGGAACCTTTGAAAAAATAGGTATCTGAGGAATGCGGCGATTACTATGAAGTTTGATTTGTCCCCAGTTTAAGCTTTTTTATCCTAAAGCAGCAAGAATGCCTTTGGAAAAACAAGATGGTTGATGACATCAAAGCAGAACAACAGTCCCTTTGGTCTCTGTACATTGCTGCTCTGTTATGGAGTTGTGCTTTGTGATTCACCAAAACACCACTCCAAACGCAAAATGGCTCTAGCACTCCCATTCCCCTCTCCAGAACTTGCCTCCTATCAGGACCATCCTATAACGAAACATGGCTTCTGAGAGGCAAAATTAAATCCTCTTCTGGAAAAGGAATCCTCTTCTTAGGATTCCAGCCAAATAAAACTACATCTCATTCTGCTTGTGTCAGCAATGAACTTTTTTTCCACCTACCATGAAGCTTTAACCTGTACCTCAAATCCCTGGTGTGCTGGTTTTCGCTGGGATAGAGTTAGTTTTCTTCACAGAAGCTCGTATGGGGCTATGGTTTGGATTTGTGCTGGAAACAGGGTTGATAACACAGGGATGCTCTCATTACTACTGAGCAGGGCTTACACAGACCCAAGGCCTTTTCTGTTTCTCACACCACTCCACCAGCGAGTAGGCTGGGGGGTGCACAGGAAGCTGGGAGGGGACACAGCCGGGACAGCTGACCAAAGGGATATCCCACACCATATGATGTCATGCTCAGCATATAAAGCTGGGGGAAGAAGGAAGGGAGGAACGTTTGGAGTTACAGTGTTTTGTCTTCCCAAGTAACCGTTACATGTAATGGAGCCCTGCTTTCCTAGAGATGGCTGAACATCTGTCTGCCAATGGGAAGGAGTGAATTAATTCCTTGGTTTGCTCTGCTTTGCTTGTGTGGCTTCTGCTTTCCCTGTTAAACTGACACTATCTCAACCCATGAGTTTTCTCACTTTTACTGTTTGGATTCTCTCCCCCCATCCCACTGGGAGGGAGTGAATGAGCAGCTGTGTGGGGCTTAGTTGCCGGCTCGGGTTAAACACAACACCTGACTGAAAAAAACATTCATGCCTTTTTCTTACTTCTTGGGTAAGAAGGAAAGCAAAAATCTAACAAAATAACAGGCTCAAAACAGAACTATATATTATAAAAGTCATTTTCATCTCAGCAATGAAGCACAAAAGAAGCAAAGAGACCTCACTCACTTCTCCAGCTCCTGGCACTGTATTCCCTAGAGGTCCACATACAAAACAAGAAGCCTAGGTAAATTATCAGGAAGGGAAGCTACAGAACATACTGTGGGTACCTGACCACCATCAAAACACCAGAGACCATAACCCCCAACTCCTCTACCCCAAACCTGAGGATGATACATAAAGACAGATTTAGTAGTACATCAGTGAAGATTCACTGGAGACCAAAACACCATACAAAATAGTTACTTTCCACTGCCATTTTTTCTTTACTTGTATTACATACACTCTGAGAGTCATATTTCTAACTTCACAAATTTCTTATAGTCTGATTTTTTGATAGTTAGATTTCTGATGGTTTCTGATTTTTGAGAGTTGCACTGAAAATGCACTAATGTACTAAAAATTATTAAAAGGTGATATTTCAAAATCTGCATGACAGTCTAGGTTATTTTTAAAAGTTTGTGGAAGCGTAGGCCTCAAATTTTAGGTAAATTTTATAGGGCCACAGGGCTCTTCCTAGACATTTACAGAATGCCGAATATTTGCAAGCAATATAAATATCTAAAGTATGAATTTTTTTGTTTTTTCAGAATGACAGAAACAGTGGAAAATGAAGGGAAAAAAAAATCTACATCTCCATTTTTCTTCCATCCATCAGAAAAACTTGTAGAAATAAAATTTAAAAAATCTGAATAGTTAGAACACTATTCCCAGACCAGTTAAGACAAGTTTATTAGGATCTTCCATACAACTCTTTCCTACTCCCACATTCAATCTCTTTAATAAAAAGCCTAACCACTAAATAGCGCAAGTAGTTTATAACATGCAAGAACTACTTACATTTTTAACAGAAAGTGTTCAGTGTTCAGGTAATTTGTTCTGAAGCAGATGCTACATCTATTTGTACTGCAAGTTAGATTCTCTTTGAAGAGCTTCAGGGTACTTGCTACTATTGGAAAGGCTATTTAAAGGAGGCTGGGACTTCTAGTAAACTCTAGCAGCTTCTAATGAGCTGCATCAGCTGTTCTTGATCAAAGGGTGCTTTGGGCTTACGTTCCAGCTGATTTCTTATGGAGGCTCAAACACCCTTTCAGCAGGTACTAGGGAGAGGCCTAGATTACTGCTGGGCTAAGAGCACAGCTCCCAGAGAGCAGCTAACAAACACAGGACTTTGCACAGAGGGGTGCACAGAAAGGGGATGGTCCCTGCACTCAGTATTAGTGGTGATGTGCCACATGGTGTGGTCTCCAGCAGCCACTAGAACAACTCTACTGGTAATGTCAGAGCCACCACCACCACCCAGACTGAGCTATTTTGGGGAAACATACAGCCTTGCAAGTCTTGGGCTGCAGGGACTATCTAGGGCCTCCCGTTCTGGCTGAGGCTGTGGCAGACAGAGATGAGCTTCTTGGCTACAGAAGGTGCAAACTAGTGGGAGAGCTGTATTACCAAGTTAAAGGAACTATGGGAGTTCAGCGGATGGCACAGCATCAGAAATGATGAGAAACAGATTGACTGGATACACTCCAAGATCCTGCAGCCTTGAGAACTGCAACTCCCAGCTGTACCGAAGGAGGTACAGTTAGAGCCTGAGCTTATCCAGATGGGAAGTAGAGACTCCCATGATGACAAAGGCTAGAAGGACCAGGACAGCAGTTCCTGCTCTGCCTGCAGACGTACAGGGCAATGACAGTTTTGGTTCAATGCCCTCATAACCGATATATGGCTGGGAGCTGTGCCTAGTGAAATGTCTGAACTGGTTAAGCCTAAGCCATGCAGCAACACCATGCATTAGCAGCAAGTGATTCCCTGCCTGCAAGGAGTGGAGGCCCCCATCTGCTAGGGACAGGTGACCTACGAGAAAGATAAAAGCACGATGTGGGTGGGAATGGGGTTAGGAAAGCCAAAGCTCTTCTTAAGCTGAATCTGGTGAGGGACATGAAGGGCAACAAGAAGGGCTTCTACCAGTATACCAGCAGCGAAAGGGAAAAAAATTCCTCCTGCT